CAGTGTTAAATAAAACGGCTTGAAATTCAACTTTATCGTGTTTTCATCGTTGAAAAAGTGCGCCCATGTAATGCATCGTTTACAGTCAAGCAATTTGAAATCATGCGAGCAGATTCAGAGAACATAGCTAACAAAAAATGGGCTGTTCCCTTTTATAGTATAGATATCTATAGACTATTTTATGTAGATGTTTCGATCGCTGACATCATGTGTAAATTAAATTGGTAGATGAGCATGCTCCAACCATACTTTTTCAGCTTACCTTGTTGACAAGTTTGTCTTTTGGAATAGATTTCAGCCCATTGCTCCAGCTTACAGTTGGAATTAAATCATTCTCAACTATGCAGTCAATGTCTTCAGGCTGAAAGTTACCTAGGCATAGAGAAAACAATATATATATATATTGTGTAATATTGCACAGATAAGGCTTTAAATTTTGATAGAACACTAACAACTGCCCTGCAGACTTATAGTTTCTAGGCATACACATGTACATACACGTTTGAACTTAACAAGAAATGCAATCAAAATTTCAGAAGCAAGATGTAACACACACATGTAACCACATGTAACACCACATGCATGTAACGAAGATGAGGTAATAGCGTGGATGAGTAAGATACATTTACATACGTACATTTATCAAAATATTCAGAACACTAAAATAACTGTCTATATCTGATATCATAAACATACCTACTCAGCTAGTTAAATTATAGTTCTTAATAATATAATAGGTGACTGGTATACGTAATTATTTTACCATAAATTGCCACCTGCAATTTCCACACTGTGAGCTTTACACACCTACAACATGAATCTTCCCTTGTAGTCCACCCTTTCGTAGTGATCTGCCTTCACCACCAGTTGCAACTGCAAGTGCCCTAACACCAATCGATTTAAGATGCCTAGACACTGGCACGCCTCCATGCCCATAACCTCCTCCTTTCACTACTGCAATCAATTCTGGAAAAAGTAGAAGAGATGTTATAACAACTGTTAATAGCAAGTTAATAATCATGAGTATCATTCCAAGATAAATATCTTGACAATTTACGTGGTGAACTTCCTTCATTATACTGATATGTCATCGCATAGACTACAGATCTGCTCAGGGCCTAATGTAATTTTTGGCAACAACATAAAGATAACAAAATTATTACTGTTAGCATTCAATAAATGTTAAGGTGCATGCATGACGAAACGTCGTAGCATTAGCTACAATAAACAGACCAAGGTCTACAACTATGCCATTTATGCAAAAAAGACATTTGCGCAAGATTTAACACTACATCTCTCCACTTCTGCATCATCGAATCTAAAGCCCGGCGCACACGTGAGTAATTTTACTCAAGTAACATGATGCATTCGTCAAAATACTCACGTGTGCGGCGGATTTTCGTTGAGTATTTTGACGCATGCATCATTTTACTTGAGTAAAATTACTCGCGTGTGCGCCAGGCTTAAATGACTCATGAGGTCAGGGGGTTGAAAGCTAGTGGCAAAGCCGAGTTCATATTTTTCAAGTTTTGAGTAAAACTTTAGTTTTGAAATAAACTTATCTTACCGGTGTTTGTTGCTACACGTGACCGTAGAATGTTGACATTGTTTGTGATGGCATCCAGATCAACACGAATGTAACTGCAATGCCCAGTCTTTGCGAATATATTGGAATCCATATCACACCAGTCTGATCAATAAAAAGTTTTAGATATCAACAAAAATATGGAGTAAATCAAAACTTGGTATTCAAATTTTGTGTTTACCATAATTTGTGTATATAGGTTTTTGCATTATACTATAGGAGTTTTTCAGAAAAATTAGGTTGAAAAGATTATAAAAATTATTTAGAAGCATAAAATTGCATAATTGTTTGTTATATTAATTGTTGTTCCACCAAGTACACACATTATTGTATCGTTCGTGGGGATACTATGGGTTCGGCATCGTTGCGCCGCCGCCGCCGCCGCCGCAGAGATTTCCTTGTGAATGCTCTA